GATTTGTCACAGCCTGAATTTCCGTTTCAGGATTTATAATTATTTAATAAATTATTAATAGAATTTATATTAAAAGTTCATTAATTTACAAGTGAAGTTAAATGTGGGAAATAAAATTTCCTACTCAAATATATGCTCAAATATAAATATCTCAATTAAATGAAAGTGAATAACTTGGATCAAGTGCATGCATAACTAAGGTATAGGACCCAAACTCAAGCAAATTTGGGTGCCTAAATCAAGGGTTGAACTTGTTTTGTAGGCATACCCCTCTGGCGGCACAAGTTGGGTGGTTGATAGCGGTTGAACAAATCACATGACCGGAGAAAGGAGTATGTTCTCATCTCTAAATGAAAATGATGAAAGTCACGACAACATAGTCTTTGGAGATGATGGGAAAAAAAATGTAATGGGGTTAGATAAAATCGTTATCTCAAATGTCATATGCATTTAAGATGTTCTTCTAGTAAATTCCTTAAGCTACAACTTGCTATCAGTGTCCCAATTGTACAAAATGGGGTATAATTGTCCTTTTACCGACAAGGATGTGACTGTCCTTAGAAGAAGCGACTCTTCCTTGGCCTTCAAAGAAAGGTTAAAGGGTGACATTTATCTAGTGGATTTCTCACAAGATAAAGTGAACCCGGAAACTTCTTGATGGTCAAGTCTAGCATGGGGTGACTTTGACATCGAAAGCTTGCCCACATTGGAATGAGGATTTTGTCAGAACTTCTAAAAGGTGTACACATCCTTGGGCTTTCTAATGTTATCTTTGAGAAAGACCACCACAAGATCATTGGGGCTATTGCATATGGACCTCTTTGGACAGGTTGCTTACCTAATCATATATAGGAGATAGCAAGTATGGTTTTGTTACTTTGGATGATTTTTCTCGCTTCACGTGGGTGTTCTTTCTTCATGACAAAGGTGAAACTCAAGAGACCTTCAAGAAATTTGCAAGAATAGCTCAAAATGAGTTTGAGCTCAAGATCAAGAAGGTAACAAGTGATAATGGGGGAGTGTTCAAGAATACTCAAGTAGAAGAGTTCCTTGATGAAGAAGGAATTAAATATGAATTCTCAGCACCATATGATCCTCCTCAAAGTGGTAGTGTTGAGAGGAAGAACAGTACATTAATTGAAGCGGCAAGAAAACCGATGTATTTTTGGAGAAGCGATCAGCATGGCTTGTCATGCCATTAACCGGTTCTACCTCCACAAACTCATGAAGAGAACTCCATATGAGCTTCTCACCGGTAAAAAGCCAAATGTTTCTACTTTCTAGTTTTTGGTACCAAATGCTTTATTCTTAACAAAAGACCTAGATCTTATATGTTTGCTTCCAAAGTTGATGAATGCTTTCTTGTTGGTTATGAGAAGAACGCTCATGCCTATCGTGTCTTCAAACAATCCTACGGAATTGTTACACGTGTCCTGCAGGCGTGTCATGGGCAATGAGACTAATGGCTCCCACAACAAATTGAGCTAAATGTGCTAAGTCAACAAGATACAAGCAAAGCTTTTGGAAAGATGGCTATAGGTAAAACCAAACCAAAAGAGGTTTAAGATGATAAGTGTGAAAATGAGGAGATGTTGCATGTCTCCTCAATTCAAGTTGCATCCTCAAGCTCAAGCCATGATCAAGATTGTATAGATGGTCAAGGATAAGGGCATGATCCTAGCCCATTCCTACGTGATGAAGATGAAGTTTTACAATCTGAACATCAAGCTCAAGTTCCAGACCCTAGAGTCCACCAAAGTGTTTAGCATGACCATCCCATCAATAACATCCTTAGATACATCCAAAAGAGGGTAACCACGTGATCCCGTGTTGCATTTTTTCTTGCGAATTTTACTCTTTTGTTTCCTCTTTGGAACCTCTAAGGGTAGAAGAAGAGTTGAATGATCAGGATTGGGTAATGGCAATGCAAGAAGAGTTAAACAACTTCACAAGAAATGAATGGCACAAGTACGTCTTTTGGAACAGGCTTGATGAGCATGGAGTAGTGACAAGGAACAAGGCTTGTTTGGTGGCTCAAGGCTTCACTCAAGTTGAAGGTTTAGAGTTTAGTGAAATTTTTGCTCACATAGATAGGCTTGAGTCAGTTCGTATTTTATTGGCCTTTTCTCAATGATCCGATTTCAGAATTAGTTAATGTGGAGCAACCTCTAGGATTTGAAGATCCAAATTTCCCAAATCACGTATACAAACTTCACAATGCACTACATGGGCTCAAACAAGCCCCTAGGACGTGGTATGAATGCCTTACGGATTTTCTTCTCAACAACGGCTTTGTGATAGGTAAAACCGATTCTACTCTTTTCACTAAAAGTGTTGATAACGATTTGTTTGTGTGCCAAATTTATGTCGATGACATAATATTTGGCTCGACTAATAAAAATATTTTGTGAATAGATGTCAATAATGGGGGAGTTGAAGTTCTTACTTGGATTTCAAATCAAATCAAGAAACTCAAAGAAGGTACTTCCATTTGTCAGACCAAGTATGTGAAGGACATGTTGAGGAAATTTGACATTGAAAGTGCCAAACACATCAAGACGCTTATGCCAACCAATGGGCATCTCGATCTCAACAAAGATGGTAAGCCGGGGGATCAAAAGGTATATCGTTACATGATTGGATCGATTCTTTACCTTTCAGCATATAGGCCAGATATTATGCTTAGCGTGTGCTTGTGTGGTCTTTTTCAAGTGGCACCAAAAGAATGTCATCTTATTGTCATTAAGAGAATCTTGAGATATCTTGTTCACACTCCAAACCTAGGGTTATGGTACTTGAAAGGTTCAAACTTTGATCTAATAGGCTATTCGAATTCCGATTATGCCAGTTGGAAAATAGATAGGAAAAGCACCACCATAACTTGCCAATCCTTGGGACATCCCTAGTTTCGCGGTCATCCAAAAAGCAAAACCCCATAGCCCTATCCACCGTGGAAGCCAAATATATTGTGGTGGGAAGTTGTACCCAACTACTTTGGATGACGCAAACCTTGAGAGACTTTGGCTACAATATGACCAAAATTCCACTCCTATGTGACAAACTGACAATGAGAGTGCCATAAAAATAGCCAACAATCCCGTTCAATACTTAAGAACAAAACACATAAACACACGCCACCATTTTCTGAGAGACCTTGAGACCAAAGGAGATATAGCCTTAACCCATGTGAGAACCAACAAACAACATGCCGATATATTCACCAAACTTCTAGATGAGCAAGGGTTCCGTGAGTTGAGAAATGAGCTAAATATTTTGGATTCTTAAACCATTGTTTTATGGAATGCTTGCTCACATGCATTTAACGGTAATATCTCCAGCAATTCTTATCTTACGTGGCATGTGATACCAGACAAAAGAGGAGCATGCATTGATCATGCCCTAGCCATGTTCTTTGGACAATTTTTCCAACTTCACTCCCTTGTTTTCCATGTGCACATTTCTCAAACTGTTAACCATACCTTTTTTTTAAAAAAAAAGTAAGTTGTTTTAAAAATCATATTAATCTATTTTTGAAATTTTGTTAGGAATCATATTAATCCAATTATTCAATTTTTTTTATCTAATACTTAATTTATGTACTAATAAGATATCTTGTTTTCCGTGTGGAGGGAATTAGTTCTAACCCATGGAAACAAACACAGCGGCACGACGTCCAATAAGGTTCCCAATCTAAAAACACACAGGCCATAGCATCCGAGCACCTCCGGACTCAAGTGTACCTTTTCATCCATCAATACAATCTAGCGGGAGCGGAGTATAGCAATTATTGTCCGGAAGGCCTAAACATGTGTAAAACTCCCTGTGTTTTTCTACGTATGTAGTGTCCAGCTATCACCATTCACCGCCCTAAACCCCTATGCTGAACACCGGGTTCCTCAACAACCTTTTTGCCAACTACAAAACGTCGAACACCTCATAAACAAGCATATACGCCTTTTTCATCAAAAATACAAAGGCCGTGTCATCCATGGCTTCATGGGTGACCACATGTCCACATGCACACCTCGTTGTTTGCACTCTGAAGAAACCACCTGAATATTTCTATGCTGGTTTATAACAAAAAGAAAAATCGACCACACCTTGCTTGCCAGAATCAACAACAAAATTTAGCAAGATTTATGTAAGCGAGCTGGATTTCTCAAATCGTTAACAAATGATGTCCATTGGTTACCGAAGGGAGTGAGTTAGTGCATGGCTGCACTACTTCTTGGCCCCCTCCTAACCCTAACCTGCTAAGACAAGTCTGAATATATAGCTTCAGTTAGGTAGTACATAAATAGGCACCATTGCAAGCCTGATGCTGCTACACCGTCCAAGTCACCAAACTGAAGATAAGCTGAAGATGTCGAGTAGCTGTATTAGCAGCTTTTGTAACAAGACCATCTTCATGAGGATACTTGTCGTTATAGCTTTGCTTCTACTGGCCCTTGGAGTTCTTCCCTTTGCACCACATTCACACAGTGAAACTTCGAACACCAGTCGAAAATCTCGGTACATTCTTATAAGTGGTAATCTTCTAAAACTCTCTTGCCACTATTTTTTTTCACGTGTTTTAATTTCATTTTTGATCTTTAAGTTTGCAGTGTCCCTGGAAACATTTTCCGCTTGTTTTTGGAAACATAATACTTAGATGTCATTGGTCTTTTGGCATTAAGAAAAAACGCTGTATCAATAGATTTTGTCATATGGTCTTGTAACAGTTGTAGAATGACATTGACAGGTTGCAACAACTACTGCAGTGTGGCATGCTGCTATTGCAACATTCACAGGTTCCCTCCAGTTTGTGAGAAGTGCTGCAAATAATTCATTGAAGTCCATGACACATATCTTGTTTAAGGAACAATGCACAGGCATTCTTTTTCTGTGCAATCCCACCTTCGTTTTCTTATTGTCTGAATTGTCTTTGTTCCTGCTGTTATCTTCGCTATGTTGAAGCAACAGATATAAACCTGACAATACCATCTTTTTTTATCAGTGACTTATTTCAAACTTGGTATAAGATACAATACCAGCGCAGCTATAAAAGCAAGAAACACAACATGTAAATAGTTATCTGTAATACACATCGTGCCCAAATGATCTTAAAGAACAGTAAGGCAAAACATTTCTTCAAGCATCCTAGCAGTACAAGTTACAAAAACAACCAGTATAGACAAACTAAAAGGTCTATGCTAAAGCAAAAAAACAAATAACACCTAAAACTGAAAATATATATTTCCAAATATACTAAGGAGAAACCTATTCTCTTTCTGTATTGTTGGTAAAGCGCCAAATTAGGCCTCCGATAATATTGTTTATGGAGTGAGAAGCCATTGGAACTATGATGCTTGAAGAAGCTATGGTAGCTAAACCATATGCTACGCCAACAAACGTTGCCCTGGAAATACAAAATATTCAAGTGTAAGACCACATTGAAGCTTATCACCTTGATGAATCACCACAGCTCAAAATATCAGGAAAACTTTGGGAGTTAACTAGCGCATTTTAAAATACACAAAAACCAAATCATCGCTCCTGTGTTAAATTATTTCCCATTGTAGACATGTATGAAACATTAAAGGAAGATATCTTACCAGATTGCAAATGAATATTTTCTGCCATTGCCCAAGTGAAGAATACCGAAAATGGCACTAGTTACAAAGGCACTTATCCAGTTCAGTCCAAAGATAGGCATCAATGCCCCTCGAAACAGCACCTCCTGACATATAAAAACTATACATCAACATTTTCTTCGGAATAGATCCAGTATTCTAGAAAGAAGACTTCAAACAATTTATATATTTACCTCGCTTATCCCAGGAAGACAAGCAACTACGATATAATCGAAAGTCTCCAGTGAAGTAAGGATCTAGTTGACAAAAATTGAAACCATTAAGAGTTGAAGTGTAGTGAAGGAACTTGCACTATCTAAGAATTTGAAGTGTTCCAGGGCCGAAGTCTCAAATGATTATAAAGAAAAGACACCTGATAGTACTGGATACAATGTACTTTTTTGCATCTTGAAATAAAGATCTATGACATATTACAATATAACGGAAACACTTGCATTAGGGGAAACTAATGCAATTATGCAACTCAACTTTGTATATTTGGAAACGGGGTTGGTGGCAACGTTCCTCAACCCGGGAACGCCAGCCATCCCTGTCCCGGGAACGCGGGGTCATTTTTGTCCCCACCTTGTAAAAACCTCTCGCAAGTAGCATACCACATTCCTCGACCCATTCCTCGATCCCATCGACCCGGGAACTTTGCGATTATGTGCCAGACTTGGTAAAATCTTTCGTTGCACTCAGCATTCTAAATACTGGTCTGTCTAGATTACCAGCCACTGGTTAAATCCAGTAACTGGCCAGTTACAGGAAAAGGGTTCAAATCCAAAAGTTCAAAATTTTGACCAGCAACCAGTTGGAATTATTTAAATATAAGTTTTGAATCTATAGGCTTCTAGCCAATAGACAACCTCTAACAAGTCCCTGGCTCTGGACCAGTTACTGATCTACTCCAGTTTTTGGAACCTTGGTTCCACTCAGTTCATAAAAAGAGCAGAGCATTTATTGACTAGGTGAAAATGTACATCATTTACTGGTGAGGTAATGCAATTGTTACAATGTACTCTAAAAGTTATTATGTTCATTCAGACAACAGCATAGATTCATCAGCTACTTGAGAAACTGTATTTGCCAATGACAGACCTTCATGAGAAGGAAAATAAAACAAAAAGGAAATACTGATTGTAAAGTTGTATATACTTGTCTATTTGCAGTCTCACTGGAATATCTGAAATCTGGCCATGTCTGTAGAAGAATATATCTGCTAGATGATATTATTATTACAAGTCCTGCAATCAACTCAAGATGCCAGGTCTCAAAATTGACTGCAGAAAAACAATACAGAAATCGACTTACATACATTTAGGTAACTCAACATTATTACATGGCACATCATTTATTTGTAAAGATAAGAAGAAAGCATACATGACAAATTCATAGGGTCAGCAACCGGCCATCCATTCAAAGATGCAAAATGTGATGCCTGTAAACAAATTATCATTAGGCTTTCAGGATAACGCCATAATTACTGAAGTATTCGCTTTGCGCTGATGTGTGTTGAAATTATATTTACTCATTCAACTTATTATCACAGAATTCTCAATAGCTTAATTATTGTTTAAAACACTTGTTTTGCCATCGCTAAGCAGATAGGTTTACCTCACGAAGAACGAGACCTCCTGCAAGGAGTAAGCTAGATGTGAGAGTACAAGCCTGAAGAACCGCATTCCTTGGGGCAACTGTGAATTTCTCGTCAGTAGTAACATCATTGGCATTGACCTCAAGGCTGGTGGTGGGGTTTTCGCCACTGCCTGAAGAAGAAGCTTCTTCACTTATAAATGTTGGACCTTGAGATATACTTTGTGATTTCCTCCTCCTTTCATTACTCTTTGCTGCAAATATTCTGACAGCCTTAAACAACAAATAAGCTGTCTGGTTATATACATGTAAGAGAAAAAAAACCTTGAAATAAATTCCAATGCAACACTTACATTGCGTCGGCCACTATGCAACCTTTTCCATGTAGCAACAACTGCGACTCCGCATTTCCAACCTGATTAAACACAATCTGGCAATGTAAGTATATCATAATGATGAACAGTACTGACGTAGATTTTACATGTCAGAACATGGTAGATACTTGCCATGAGCCCAAGAGACAGATTAATTCAAAAAATCAAATTACTGGCTGCAAAATTACCGGTCATACATGCATGCTCCCTAAAACCGTGACTGGATTCTACCACGGTAGTAACAAAACAAGCCGACAAGACGAAGAGAAGTGAAGCAACTACAATCCATTGGGCTTCCCCGTAATAATAATCTCTCTTTTTTTTTATGTCAAAATAAATATAATCTCTCAAAATTTATAGTGGGCGGAAGCATCACACAGTAAGCTGCCGTGCCATGCCATATCCTCGACAAATGAACTGAATCCTCTCGATCTGATGCATCCAACAAGTGGAAGAGAGAACAAATCGGCCAAGAAATTTACCGCCTTACTCTGTAAACCTCGGGGCGGGAGCGCGGCCGGCGCGAGCATCGCCGCCATCGGCAACGGGATGGCAACAATCTCAATCTCAAGTAAGCGGCGGCTGTGGCTGGCTGCGGCCGCCGAGGCGAGTCCGTCCAGAAAAGGACGGAGAGGAGCGGGACGGGGACGAAGAGAGAGAGAGGCCCCGTTTGATGGGATTTTGTGTGGCGCAGCGTCGCGTGGTGTGGCCACGCCACTCTTACTCACTCTTGTGGCTTGTCATCTCATCTCGGCTGGTTTATTTGAGAGGTGAGGAAATGACGAAGATTTAGAAACATTATTATATTATATGATTAATTAAGTATTAATTATTTTAAATTTTAAAAAGTTAAATATTTTTTCTATACAATTTTCGCAAACAACCATTTAGTAATTTAGAAAGCGTCCGTGCAAAAGTCTAAGATAAATCTTCTCTCAATCTTGTAGCAACAAACGAAACTAGCAAGCCAATATTGCCTTTTAATTAATGGTTATACTTATGCATATCATTAGTTAAGCCGAGCGGGGTGGATGATTTCAATTGTAGATTTGGTGGCAGTGAGGCATGTATAAAGGCAACATGCAAAATTGTGCATCTACCCATAAATATTATGGAGAACGTTAATAATAATTTGTATATTTTAGTTTGTTATTTGTAATATTTGTGAAATAATTACAGTTTTTTTACATCTTTTTTCTATCTACCCTGCTCTCTTCGCTCTTCTTTATTTGTCGCTTGCATACATGGAGGAAAGGGAGAGCTAGCAGGAAGCTTGGACGGTTAGATAGGTCAGCAACACACTTAACTGTATGAAAGAGGGTCACGGCCGGACGGCGGCATGAGATTGATTGAAATGGTAAGAAGGATTTAGGAGTCACAGCCAGCGGTGAGATTTAGGAGTCACAGCCAGCGGTGAGCTCAAGTGGTGGCGGGAGAAAGCTTGGCCAGAGGACGGATGGCCGGATTTAGGAGTCACAGCCAGCGGTGAGCTCAAGTGGTGGCGGGAGAAAGCTTGGCCAGAGGACGGATGGCCGCTATCGAAGAAATAAGGAATGTAGTGACGACGATGATGATGATGATGCCATAGGTTGGCCTGGTTTTTCAAACCTGTCCACCTCAGTTAAAGTCGTAGATTGATATGAGTGCTCGTATTTATAACTAATTGTTATTTTAGTGGTAAGCATCTGTCTCAATGTGCTAAATTATAATCAGTATGTTTTTTAAGGGGAAACTGCCCAACATTTGCCTAGCAGTTTATATTTCATTAAAAATTATGTAACCGTAGCAAGTATGTTGCTCTAAATAATACCTCTATATAAGATTTAGTTGAAGTTTTATCAAAAACCACATACAAGGCAACATAATACAAATGCCCCTACTAAAATATGTTTCTTGGTTTTTTAGTCAATACTAGCTAGCTAATTCCCAAACATCCAGAAGATATACGGTCTTTGCGATTCAAAAGAGATAAATAAATTATTCTCCATAGAAATTTAGCAACATGACACTCAATAAGACTAGCATAACGCAGATAATATTATTAAATTATGTTTCTTGGTTTTTTTAGTCAATACCAACTAGCCAATACCGAAACATATAGGATAAACTATGTGGTCATTACAATAAAAAAAGATAAATTTTGTTCTCCATAGAAACTTAGTAACATGACATTCAAAGAATATATGTTGGATTGTTTCATCATGCATATTACTACCATCTTAATTCATGTTTGCTAAATTATTTTTGGTTAACACTACCAAATATATTTACCACATAAAAATATTTAATTTGATAGGCAATCTTAATTTCTACAACATTTATTCCTTTTGATAAACTCATTAAAAAAACTCAACACCAAATAAAAATATATATCAAGGAAGGTTCCACCTAAATATGTCCTTATCATCATTAAGATGAATATGTACTTGTAGCAACCAAGTTATGCCAATTAACAAAGTTCTAACTCGCCAATATGGTTTTGGAAAAAAACATTCAAAGGAACACATAACCCATTACAAGTGTAATTGATGCACTTTTTTGACAAACCATATTATACAAAGATGGATATTGCTCCTTAATAGAAGAGTTCCAATACATTTATCTTATCAGAAATTATTAAGATACTTCCTGCTAAGAAAATCTTGTTATCTTCCATCCTAGTTTTCACAATATTTCAACAGTCATCATTTCTATAATATTTACTATGCACTCCGTTGCAAAGCACAGGTATCACCTAATCATAAAGATAACTACACTAGTTAACACGGAGTTGATCAAAATCAATCTTCCACCCATTGACATATGTTTATCTTTCCAACCACTTAGTTTTTTCTCAATTCTTTTCTCTATCAATTTTCAATTTTATTACTTAGCTTTCTAAAATGCAACTATCCTATAGATTTATCAACTAAACATCAAAAGCAACATCTACGTAATCGCCACATCACACCTCCGATTATTGTTGACCATGCCAAGGCATAGTAGATCTCAATCCACAAAGCAATATAAAAATAAGTAAAATAAAAAATAAGAAAGAATAATAGTACATTAATTTCCTCAAAATTCTTGTATCCTCCTCTTGTTTCCTGGGGATCTCCCGATCTTTGTAAAGTGCGTGTTGTAATCCTCCTTAATTAAAATTGCCAGAGCTCCTGCCCTTTTCCCTCGAATTTTTTTTTCACGAAGTTGGGGTTCTAAATATTAACGATGAGTACCAACAATTAATGTATTAATTTATACTCTTTACATTGTAAAATATAATGATTTCTAGATTGTTTAGCAAATACATGCTCCGTTCTAAAAATAAGTTCATTTTTCACCATCTTATTCACTCCAAAATAACTTCATCTTTGAAGCAATTATTGCACTATAGTTTGTGAAAGTAGGGAAAATGCATTTCTGTTTGTTAAAATGAGATCAATTGCATTGGGATTCCCTAAATCATTTTTGCCTTTGTTTTAGTATGTGGGGACAGGGGACCAACAAAGTTGTTTTGGGACGGATGTAGTACTAAGATTAGGTCATAAGATTTCATTTTTAGTCACTGCGGTTATCAATTAGCTTTAGCTTTATAATCATTGAAATAACGGGAATCATGAGAACCAATGCAGTAATGCTTATGTTGAGGTATAAGGCTGTGCTTGGGAGGTGAGGTTGGGAACTCACTACGGAGCGACACATTTTCTCATGATTAAGTAAGTATTTATTATTTTTTTAAAAAAATGGATTAATATGATTTTTAAAACAACTTTCGTATAGAAACCCTTTGCAAAAAAACATTGTTTAGCAGTTAAAAAAATGTGCGCACAGAACACGAGGGAGGTTAGTTGAGAAAGGTGGGGAAAGAACACAACCTAAGATTTGAATCATACAGATCCTATGTTTTACCACCTCATCCCGGAATAAAGACAGATTGCTAGCGCACGCAAATGACCACAATAGCCTATTTAGTGACCACATTGTATGCACACATTTCACACGTAAACTTGATTAAAAGAAAAGTTAGGAGATGGCAATGTGAGACTAAAAGATGGTATATCATCATCTAATTAATTTGTAATTTGTTGGATCCCATCTCATTAGAAATATTTTTTTTCATAAAATTTGAATGATAGAAATGCAATTATTCTGAGTAGATAACATAACGGACGTAGTAAAACTAAGGGCATGTTCAGATTGCAACCAAAATTAACCTTACCAATTTTGGCAAGTTGGTAATATTGCCAAAATTTTAGTAGAATATTTACCAAATTTAGCAACAAACTAATTTTTTTTAGCAACTTTGCCAAAAAATAGTATGATTGAAAATAGCATCAATCTGAACAAACCTTAAGCGACTTTTTTGAGCTTTCTGTAATTTGTTTATTTTCCATATCCTTTGCTACCCTCAAAAGCCTCATTTGGATTGTTCTCATCCGCATGTTTGGCCATAGGTCGGCTGAGAATTAAACTTGTTCATAAATATAGTTTCTTCCATCCAACCGCTCCACTTTGGTCATCCGTCCAATCACTGGTCACGTTGAGATGGGTATAATGCATGTGGTTGATTCCGCAATCAGTATTCATGGACAATAGCAGTAGAGCACAAACATATTGTCATCTTGTGTGTTAACTCAACAGACAATTTATTTCACATACAGACGCATTTATGCCTACAAAATCATATTATTCGTGTCCAAAATTGAATCAACAGCTCAACCGTATACTGTGGATCCGCGGAGACTCACTAATTACAGCGTCTAACAGATGATAGTAGATCACGGAACTAGCGCGAAACAACGATTGTCATAAAGGACCATTTGTAAACAAGCACTCAGGTTAACCGGTGTTCTTGCCAACTGACGGTATCATGAATCATCAGACTTGCACTTTCATCTGGCAGAACTAACAAATCCAATATACACTCACCAACAATCCGACAGGGTCCACAAGCTATTTGTGCCTCCAATAATAGTTTTGGCATCATATGATTCAACCAAGGACCTTCCTGATTTCTTCAACAAGTTGAGCTCTTCTAGAGGGATCCATCTGAATAAGTGTCCAAAGAAGGAAATTTCAGAAGATCATAATGGCATAAAAAGAACGATTGGAATTATAATCATTATTTGATTAGATAGTTCTCCAGCCATATGTAATGAAAAAGAATTTATATAAGCATCAGTAAGCTAATTACCTTATCTAGTAACATGGAAAGACCCTGTGGCAGGGCTTGCAAATCTGAGCTGGAATCTGAAAGACTTGAGAGGGATTGGGATACTCTTTGAGCCTTAAGATATTGAATATAATCCTTGTAGTTTTCAGGGTTATCCATCCAAGCAACAAAAGCATCGTCATCATCCCATTCAGCTGCATGTGAAGCTGAATACCATTTCTTGATCAGCTCGATTGCTGGTTGGTGGGAAAACTGCTCACCTGCTACAGCTCTAATTTCTTTTGCAAGAACATCCTCAGAGATCCTCCTCCGTAATCTCTTATAGAAGAAAGATCGTGATTCTTCCCAGTCCACAACTTTCTTAATCACACCTTTCGCAGCCATTCTGAGGGATGTATCATGCAATTCAGCAAACCGTATCGCAATCTGAGTATATAGAGGCATCAACTGTTTTGTTCGAGCTTCTATATTTTCTTGAAGCGATTTTGTGTCAGCACTTCCATTTTTATTTGCTACTTCGAGTTTTGCTTTCAGATCAATTAATGTTGGGTCAA